TATATGTTTTCCATGTAAATATATAGTAAAATGTCATTTATTTCTGTGATTAAAAGCTGGATTTTCAGCATCATTGCTCCAGTCTTCAGTGTCACATGATCCTTCAGAAAATCTTCTAATGCTTGCTGCTCAAGCAAAACGTATTATTATCAATGTTGAAAACTGTTATAAGGCTTAATGTATGTATGGAAACTGTTTTTTTTCATGATTGTTTTTAAAGAAACAAAATAAAGTTCAACTTTTTTTTTTACTCTTAAAAAAAAGTATTATTAGCATTTCTTTCAATAAATAAATAAATAAATAAAAACCCCAAACTATATATAATAGTAATAATTTATTTAATTACTTATTAATTATTTAATTAATTTAATTGCTTAATATTTTGTGTGTACTATTGTGCTATTGTGTGATTTTTTTATTAATCTAAGTATTGCCATGTTAGTTCCGTAACGCACTTACTGTCTAAATAGCTTTCTAAATCACTCAGTTATGAGGTTTCTGTTTCATTTGGGATGCTGACTTAGAAGGCAGCTGTCTGTAGGTCCTAGAGAGCAGGGCAACTCACCCGATTTTGGAACAGAGCCTATGAGTCGCACTGCATTTTCTCTTCTATTCGTTCAAGCATACATTTGAAGAGTGCTTTCTGTGTGTAAACAGCCACTTGGACAAAAAGTAAAATCGCATATAGACTTTGGTTTGGTTAAAAATGGCCACATACATTGGACTTTTTCGGGCACTGTTTAAAAACTGAGCTAGTCTAGACGGCTGGCTGGCTGGGCGAGAGTCTTGTTTTGACTAGAGAGCAGCAGTCTGGTCTCTTGAGGAGACGCCACACCCAAACACAGCACACCAACAACACTAAACCGTGCACCTTCCACACTCATACACTGCGTTCCCTCTTATTCACGGCAGAGAACAGCGCACTGTCCTAAAGCACACATTAGTCAAGCAAATTAATAGAATTCATATCCCAGATGCATGTCTGTCTCTTGTTTCGCAGTTGAGCTCTGATGTGATTGAATTAGGGACACGGGCCTCGCCGCTCTGAAAGTGAAGATCTGGCGCTCGTATCCGTCCGTCTTTCTCTTCGCTCTATCAGACAGTAGCGACGGCCACCGCCGCTGTTTTCTTTGCAAATTCCGATGATGTGTATCGTCTGCTCTCCATCTCTCTCTGTTCTCCTCATCGCGTCGTGACCCTTCTTCTTCTCTGCTGGCTGCTGTGTGTTTTTTCATGGTGGAGGGGGATGAAAAAACGAGGGAAAAAAAGGGCAGTAAAACAAAGAGAGGTTGTGTGAGAGACTCGGCAGGCAGGAAACATAACTCTCTCAGGACTCTCTCTCTCTCTCTCTCTCTCTCTCTCTCTCGTTTTCTCTTCTCTCCGGCCCGGCTCCAGATCAGATCTGACAGACACTGAGAGACTGAAGGATGGAAGATCGTTACAGAGAAAGAGTGAGCGTTTGAGGACAAAGCATGATAGAAGATTGTTAAATGGAAAGCAACGTTTCCCAGATATCACCTGAATTCGGTGCCTAGGTGATAAATCTGATAAATTACTATTACAGATGTACAGATTCAATATTTATAGTGAAAACAAAAGGACAGTTTATTCATCTAACGTGCCTCCAAGGCAAATTAAATTGAACTTATTTTTTTACTTATTGTGTTGTTAAAATTAGATGTCAGTGAAATTAAACGTCACTCATTCTTGCGTGTCTTTTGACCAAATGTCATTGACAGCAAAATATCTTAATGACAAAGCAATTGTATGACTTCGGAAGACATGAAATTGTCTATCTATCTATCTATCTATCTATCTATCTATCTATCGTCTGTCTGTCTGTCTGTCTGTCTGTCTATCTATCTATCTATCTATCTATCTATCTATCGTCTGTCTGTCTGTCTGTCTGTCTGTCTATCTATCTATCTATCTATCTATCTATCTATCGTCTGTCTGTCTGTCTGTCTGTCTGTCTATCTATCTATCTATCTATCTATCTATCTATCGTCTGTCTGTCTGTCTGTCTGTCTGTCTATCTATCTATCTATCTATCTATCTATCTATCGTCTGTCTGTCTGTCTGTCTGTCTGTCTATCTATCTATCTATCTATCTATCTATCTATCGTCTGTCTGTCTGTCTGTCTGTCTGTCTATCTATCTATCTATCTATCTGTCTGTCTGTCTGTCTGTCTGTCTGTCTGTCTGCCTGCCTGTCTGTCTGTCTGTCTATCTATCTATATATCTGTCTATCTATCTGTCTATCTGTCTGTCGGTCTGTCTATCATCTGTCTGTCTGTCTGTCTGTCTGTCTGTCTATCTATCTGTCTATCTGTCTGTCTGTCTGTCTATCTATCTATCTATCTATCTATCTATCTATCTATCTATCGTCTGTCTGTCTGTCTGTCTGTCTGTCTGTCTATCTATCTATCTATTATTTATTGTATGTATTTTTTTTTTATTTTTTTAGCTTGATTTGGTCTTTACATTTTTTATTTTTTTATTTTTTATTCCTTTAATCTAGATAAAGTTACAATGGATCAGAACAGATCATAGATAAAACTATAGCCTACACTCTAAAAAATGCTGGGTTGTTTCAACCCAACTCAGATATGGACTAACCCAACTTTTGGGTTAAAAATGTAATGTAAAAATTTAACCCAACAGTTGGGTTAGTCCATATTTGACCCAAAGTTGGGTTGAAACAACCCAGCACTTTTTAGAGTGTAGACCACCTTTTAGCCTAGTGCATTTTTATGATGGTTTATAAACTGTCATTGTGTGAAAATGTCTGTATGGAATTATCTTTTATATTTAATTTTATTTTATTTAATTTAATTTTATTTTATTTTATTTTATTTTCTAATTTCATGTATTCATTTATTTTATTCATACATTTATTTATTTATTTATGTATTTATTTATGTATTTATTTATTTATTTTTACTCTTCAAGCTTGATATGGCCATTGTAAACAGTCATTATGTGGACATTTCCATATTAATTTATTTATTTATTTATTTATTTTTTTTTACTTCATTCATTCTTTTATTTTATTCATACATTTATTGGTTTTATGTGTTTATTTTTACTTTTCGAGCTTGATATAGTCATTAGAATCTGTCATTGTGTGGACATTTCTGTATGGAATTTTCTGCATTCATTTTTGGTGACTCATTCTTTTAATCTGGTTAAAGTTAAAAAGCCTCAGAACAGATCGCAGCTGAAACTATTTTACAATGTGCTGAATACTGTATTCAAAGAGTAAACTCTTCTCAGTCAGGTTCGGCTGTGGATGTAATGATAAGCAGGAGCAGTGCAAGTCGTGCTCTTTCTCACTCTCTGCGTTTCGAGATTAGCATCTTCCTTTCTTTTGGATTCTGTTGGATTCTGCTTGGATTCTGTTGGCCATGTAATTTTATCAGCACTTTCCAAACCAAACATTTTCTTTGTCTTCAGAGGTTAATGTCTAGTAGTTCCACCCAAAGCTTGGATGAGATTTCCAGTGCAGTGACCAGAAGAGGGCGGTGTTATGTCACCATTGCAAACGCTTTGGCTCCGTTCAGCTGGAGTTGTGAACTAAAGCTTTAACTCTAAGGACTGTCATACCACAAAGGTTACTTTCAAAGAATTTCAGTATACTAGCATACTGTATTTGTTGGCCGTCTCTGTCGGTTTGATCCGATCCGCTCTCATATGGTCGTCCATCGAGGGCACATAGAGACTTGATTAGTGCCAGTCATTGCTTAATTTCCGTTCGGGAAAGAGGGATCACTGCAGTGCTGCAAGGCATGATGGGAATGTTTTAAGAGTAACCTATGTTTGAGAATGAAGGAGACTCTGGGCATTTTCCTAGGATACTGATACAGATGCCTTTCCAGAGTTGGAATAAGCAGCCTTACAGGAAGCACACATGCTTCTCAGAATGCCGTTTTAGAAGACATTTTTGTAATTTTGTTCAACAGGATATTCATTCATTCATTCATTCATTCGTTCATTCAATTCATTCTAAATCAACAACATCTGACAGGATTACACAAAATATAAAAATAATAATTAATATTAACTAAAATATTTTAAAAAATTATTAAAATAAAATAAATATAAATAAAGTAAAAAATAAATAAATATAGTATTGATGATAATAATAATAATAATAATAATAATAATAAGAAGAAGAAAATAATAATAATAATAATAATAATGGAACTTGTTAATAAAATAGATTAAATAGCAACTCAGTGCCAGTGTTATATAATTATAATTTATATAATATAGTTTTTGGTAATATTTTGAATTATTTTCTATAATAATTTTCCTGTATTAAATTTTTATTGTTAACTTTTAACTTTTTTATTACTATTTTTAATCTGTCAATATAGCTTTTATTAAGTTCTAAGTTAAGTTTAAGTTTTGATGATAATAACCCTGATGTATACCACAACTGTATTGCATTAAAATTATTATTTGTATGTAGTTTAATTTAGTTTAGTTTATTTTAAGTTTATTTTTATTTATTTTATTTTATTTGTTTAGTTTAGTTTTGCTGGTTCAAACAAACAAACAAACAAACAAACAAACAAATAAATAAATAAATAAATAAAAACCTTCCCAGTCTGTTATGTTCCTTGGTGCTCAGAATGTGCTTGCACACTATGTTTCTGTGAGGTCTCTAAAAACAGACGCAGTCAGATCATCATAATATTCTGACATCCAAACAGATATTCTGTATGAATATGTGAGTCTGTCAGAGCAAACCAAACAGCTCTAGCACATCTTCATTGTCTCAGACACACAGACAGTTTGAGAGAGTTTCTTTAAAAAAGTGAATATGAACAAAAAAGGCTCCTTCAGCAAGGACTTAGAGTGGGATATAAACCGCAATAACCAGTCCAAATCAAATTTCTCAGGAACATTAACACATTTTCCAAAGGCGTACTGGGCTTTTGGAAAAACAATAGCAGGTTACAAAAATCCCTCATATTATTTTCTCTTCTCTCCAGATGCTTCTTATGATGCTGTACGGAGGGCAGGCTGGTCAAACAACATGCACAGCGGCAAAGGTGAGCGTCAGACGTCCATCTAGAGTCATTGATTGAAGTGGTCAGACACTGTGTTTGATTCTGAGGCTTTAATCTGGACAGTAATACTGTGCACCAGCTGATGGCCAGTCTTTAGTTTTGGGACACTGAAGAGGCCCATTAAGTGCTTAGCAGTTGGGCCAGCTATTGCCCGTGTTTTCGTTGGATGCAGACTTGTGCGTCTACTCGCCCAGACGAATGTGCTTAACTTTTTTCTCTCTCTCTTCTTCTTTCTGTCGCGCTCTTTCTTTCCATTTCTCAGGCTCTCCTACAGTGGTGTCTCAGAACGTGTCCAAGAACACTGAACAGGCTCGGCCTCAGCCCGGTAAGCAGCAGCGCTCTGCCACGAGCACATGCATGCGTTCAAAAACATTTCATATTTATGCATTTGGCAAGTGCATTTGCAGTATGTTTTTATTTATTCATTTTCTGGGAGTTTAACTTTTTGTGGTTTTGCAATAGTAATATTTTTCACCAGTTCAGCTACTGGAGAGCAAGTTCAAGACTTTTAAATTGTGACATTTGTCCAGTTCAGAGGTCACGTCTAGATTAATTTCTCTTTACTTTCAGATCCTTACCAAATATTAGGACCCACTAGCAGTCGACTTGCCAACCCAGGTAACAACATGAAGGCTTACTGTTTCTGAGCTACACTGCATTTTAGGAAAACTTTTTTTTTTCATTTAGAGACATATTCTATTAAAATAGTAATATTTAATATTTCATCAAAATTCTGGATGATGCAGATTATTTTCATGTTATGGCCACTAATTAAGAATTGGTTGATTCTATATTATTTCTGTTCTGTTCTAATATTATATAATATTTAAATAATTTAAAAATAAAACACTAAAACATTAGCAAAACGTTAAAATCACTTATTTTAAATGTGAATTTAGGTGTTAATCATTTATGAAAATGGGTAGTTATTTTTAGTTTTTCCTAAAAAAAACCCAAAAAACATTTGTTATTAAATTTAAATAACTCCAAAATAAATTTACATCTACAGTGAAAAAATGGTGTGATTTATTTTGAAGCATTTTTCATTAAAAAACAAGCTAAAACTAAAACCTAAAATAAAATTTAAATAAAAAAATAATGAAAAATGAAGTTTATCTGAAATAAAAGAAAATTTAAATAAATATGAACACATTTTTGTTTCAGCTATTGACAAGGCATCTCATTTTCTTTTAGTTTAACTTGAAAGTACTAAAATAACTAAAACTGAAATAAAAAGTACAATATAGACATATAATCAAACTAATAAAAATGACAAAAGCACAATAAAATCACAAAAAAAAAAAATATAATGGAAAATATAAAAAAAAAAAATTCAAAATATTAATAAAAACATGAATAATAATATATCAATTATACTATAATAACACTATAGAAATTGCTAGAATTTCACAAATAATGACCAAGAAACAGAAAATAAAATTTAGAATTAAATGTGAATTTTTAAAGTAAAACCTGTAAATATTTTCTCATAAAACATACTCCTATAATGTTATTTACAACTTCAAACAATATTTTTACAGTGTACTGATATTTATTTGTGCTGTATTTAAAAAATATATATATTTACATTACATGTATTCATTCGGCAGATGCTTTTATCCAAAGCAACTTGCATTGTATTCAAAATGTGCATTTTATCAGTTCTTACTTTGCATGGGAATCGAACCCATGACCTTGGCGTTGCCAGTGCCATGCTTACTGTTTGAGCTACATGAAGGCTTGTGGGTCTCTAGTAAAACACTCTGTCTGTGTGTTTGTCCAGGTTCAGGTCAGATCCAGCTGTGGCAGTTCCTGCTCGAGCTCCTCTCCGACAGCGCCAACTCCGGCTGCATCACCTGGGAAGGGACCAACGGAGAGTTCAAGATGACGGACCCCGACGAGGTGGCACGTCGCTGGGGCGAGCGCAAGAGCAAGCCCAACATGAACTACGACAAACTAAGCCGCGCCCTGCGCTACTACTACGACAAAAACATCATGACCAAAGTGCACGGCAAGCGTTACGCCTACAAGTTTGACTTCCACGGCATCGCTCAAGCCCTGCAGCCCCATCCCACCGAATCCACCATGTACAAATACCCAACCGACCTGCCCTATGTGCCAAGCTACCACGCTCACCAGCAGAAGGTCAACTTCGTTTCGCCCCATCCTCCCTCCATGCCCGTCACGTCCTCCAATTTCTTCGGGCACGCCACCCCATACTGGAGCTCTCCAGCGGGAGGGATTTATCCCAATCCCGGCGTGCCGCGTCACGCCAATTCACACGTGCCTTCCCACCTAGGCAGTTACTACTAAAACCTTCACCTTTCACCCTGCCGCCCGTACGCCAAAACTTGGAACTGCACTCGAAGCAAAGACAAAAAAAAGCAAACTGGAACTGGAGGGATTGTGGCCGGAAAGTTAGCAGATGGAAGCAATGTTGAAAGAAGATCCTCTTCAAAATGGAGTACTACTTATTGGAGGACGTTGGGTTGGTGTTTGTTTTGGAGAGCGTGTGCATGTTTCTTGTGCCTTTCTACATCTGAAAGCTGCAGCGACGGGCCAGAATCCCTTCTAGCCAATAAAGACCACCTCTATTATGTATAAGTCGGTGAACAACTGAGAAAATAATCACTGTAAACTCACCCTGTGTGTTTAATGCAATTGTGAACCCAGCGTTTATATTTTTGAACCTAGTCCCCGCTTCCCTTTGGATTTTATGGAAACCCGCCTCGGTTACACGACTTTATCTTCTCAAGTCGTGACTGAACTCTCTTTTCTAAAGCAAATCTGGCAACTGGAAAAAATGTTGGCATTCAAGCGCCGTTTCTCCTCTTCGCCGGAGTACGTGGCGTCTGATTGTTTATTAGGAGCTTCTCAGGCTAGCTGGCTCAAGCTAAACTCTCTTACTCATCTTTAGCGCTCTTCTATGCTTATGACCGAGATGGCGTTGATGTGAAAGGACTGAAGCCTGCTTTACGTTTCTGACGCATGGAGTCCCGTTTCATTGGCCAGTGAAAATCCACTCGATTTCATCTCAAAACAGCCAAAGTGTTGCGTTCACGTGAGATTTGCGTCTTGGATGGACTGAATGAATGTGGGCATCGCGCGAAGTACCTCCTCGAAAGAAAAAGACCGTTGAAACAGCAGCACGAGACGTTGAAACCAGAGATTCGCGAACGCTGTGCGTTTGTCAGACCTATCTGCTAGTATTTTTTTTTTTTGATCAAAGGTCAACTAGGCATTAAAAGCATCTTACTGTATAAATTATGCAGAGCTATTTTCATATGTGACAGTGTTAAGAATCATACGTTAATACGAGTTGACCTCGGTCAAAATGCAAACTTTTTTTTATCAGTTACTGAAGGTAGTTTGTACTACGTAGGTGTTTTGTATCTGTACATATGGGCAATAAGTTTATGAATGTTTTCTTGTATTTTCTAAAGTTCTTGGTGCGTCGCCATGACAATAAGAAGGTTATTTTGATACGTAGTTGATATTTTCATTCCTTAAGAGCAAATGCCTTACCAAACGTGCTTAGAGACAATCTCTTCTACATAACTAAAGGTTCCCAAAGTGCCATAACAATGCCTTAAAGTCAAATCGTGTTACTGTGCCTGAAAAAAAAAGTGTTCGGACAGTGTTATACAAGTGTTTCCCCTTGTGTATTTTGTAGCATTAAGAAAAAAAAGCTGATTGAAAATTCCCAGCTCTTCATCTCTTTAAGGGATCACTCTCAGATATGAAGGAATTGTGCTATTTTATATATGCAAGTATTTGGATATTAAATTTATTACTATATAAATATATATATGAAATATTGCAATTAATCTTTTTTGTTAATTTTGTTGTTTCTGCAATTTATTAAGTATTACCTTTTGTAAAAGGGTCTGTTGTATAGGTAAAATGTGACAAAATAAATGTTTTTACATTAAAAATCTCTCCATGTAACTTTTTTACTGTGTGTCATTTGGGCAGAGCGTAATTTGAAACAATATCTTGATCGAATTTGTTAAAAGGGTGGTGTTCTAAACCGCTAAACTAAACATGTATTGGCTTACACTGAGTTCTTATGATCACATACAAATAATGGCATCTTTATCTCAGCTGTTAAATATAAAATCACTCTTGTAAACAGATGAATCGGAAAATCTGTGCCTGGCATCAACATAACTGTTTATGAATCAATCTTATGGTCTAGACTACATGATATTTCATCTAATCCAGTACTGGTTGATCATAAACAATCGTAGGCACATCTGAGGATCACAATGACATTAAATCTGGTGAGTATTCATTTATTTGGATTTGATCTACTGTTTTGGTAAGGAAAAGACTAGATCATAAAAAAAAAACCTCACTGGAAATTCTGAGATGAATAAAATAAAACAATAAAAAAATAAATAAATCAGTGATGTAATGTCAGTGCTAAAGGATTGCAAACACATGGATAGTCTAAGGTAAGATATATTAATTCTAAGTGTTTGGCAGTGAGAGCTCTTCAGGGCATTATCTCCATCCCACGTCTAATATATTGTAAAGCCTCTTTATTATTTGATGTGTCATGTAGTGAGTCAGCGGACCACAGCAGTGCTCGATCACGCACCACCCTTCCTTACGCACAACTCTCCAAGCTTTATGAGCTTTACAAATTTCCAAGTAGTCAGCGCTGCTAAGGGCAAAGAAGCTGTGACACTAACTGCTTTGTTTGGCTGTGTATGATGAGACTTTCCTGCAGGATCCACACTGAGGCCCTGCTGAATCAAGGGGAACTAGGGACCAGGAATTGATTGTATATATTTGTTTTTTTCATTATTATATTATAATGCAAGTTTTTTGACGTGTGTGTGTGTATGTGTGCGCGCGTTTTTGTGACAAATAAGGACATAAATTTGTATAATACAAGGGTATGACATAGGTATTACAAGGAGAAGGTGACTTTTCAGGACATTACCCCATGTCCCCACTTTTCAAAACGCATATAAATCACACAGAATGGAGTGTATTGAAAATCTGAAATAGCACAAAGTTTCCTGTGAGGGGTAGGTTTAGGGGTAGGGTAGGTGTAGGGCAATAGAATATACGGTCTGTACAGTATAAAAACCATTACGCCTATGGGATGTCCCCACTTTTCACAAAAACAAACCTGTGTGTGTGTGTGTGTGTGTGTGTGTATATATATATATATAAATCGGAATGGTTACTTCATAAATATATAATTTTTACACACACTGAGAGTTGTCAAGCTGACTGTTTGTCATCTATTTTTTTGTCTTGTGCGCCCTCATGTGGTCATTTTTAACTGTGAATACTAAAAAATGCTGGTTGATTTTTATAAGGCCATTTTCAATTAACTAATCCACAAATTCCAATTCATATTTTTTTTTTATTTATAAAAAAAATTATATTTACAAAATGATATATACAAAATACAAATGACATTTACACAATAATGCAATATTAGCCATATCTACTAATTTACAAAGAAATACACAATCCCAGAGTGATTCAGAGCATAAAAGCATCAGCTGGTTCACTGGAATTTGAAATCAGTTCATCTTAGACGTTTATACATAGATGTATTAATAAAAGTCAATCTCATATGAATTAACTTTCAGTTAATACTCTCACTCCCAATGACCCTGTAACAGAAGACAGTTCTAGTTTCACCTCAAGGACAATTTACGCTTTTATATTTCTGATATTATCAGAAAAATAGTTTTGAACACAAGCTGCTCTTTAAAATAATAACTACATTCCATAAAATAAAAAAAAGTGCCACTGCACTTCATTTTTCAGTGGGTAGATAGGGGAATTTCCAGAGATAAAACATTCGTCTTGCCTCTTGTGCTCACTATGAGAGACAAAAAGCATTTGTGTCCAGTGTTTCTAGTATAGTGCAAGACGGTGACCTTGCAATGTCGCTCAGTACATGTCAGTCAAAGAGCTTTACATTTTGGTGACGTTGGGCATCTCAATGTCAATCACCTCAAAGCCCTGGTTATCAATGCCGCTGATGGAGTGGTGATGGTGTCCCGCCTCGTTGTGGTAGCAGTAGGCACAATGAGCGGTCGGTACAGGCACCACCTTGGCAAAGTTGGAGAAGTCCACTCGGTATTTTCCCTCTTTGCTGCGGGAGATGATCGGGAGGAAGTCGTAGCCCCACATGATCTCCTGAGGGAGGTAAGAAGTCCTGACCTGGCAGGAGGAGCTGGTGGACTCAGCCGTTCCGTCGAGAAACACCACCAGCTCAAACTCCTGCTGATGCAGCGTGTCCACCGCCATGTCAAAGAACGGGCTGGTTTTGTCGATGACGTGGTAAAGGGTGAAAGGACACACAAAAAACAGGCTGTCCTTGCCGGCGTCCACCATGAAGTCAATGCTGACCTGGTCCAAGATGATGGTCTCACCTTCTGGAGTGACTGTGGTCCTCAGGAGCTTGCCGTAAATCTGGCTACCGATCATCAAAGTCTTGCGCAGGTTGGCCACTCGGATCTGAAGGCAAAGGGTGCCCTTTTTAGGGCAGATAACTGCCTGGTCGGTGAAGGTTATGGTCTTGGCTCTCTTCTTGGGAAGGGCGATTTTTGCCATAACCACGCCGCACCAGAAGCAGTTGATTATGGTGCCGATAAGGCTCTGAATTACGATCAGAGCCACGGCTCCGGGACAGACGTCAGTGACGTACACGTTTCCGTATCCGATGGTGGCTTGGGTCTCCAGTGAGAAGAGGAAGGCGTAAGTCAGTGTGTTGACGCTGTAGACGCATGCCGTGTTATTTTCGGGTGGATTCTGCCACTTTAGGTCACCGTGGTCTCTGGCGATCCAGTACCAGAGGAGGCCGAAGATGAACCAGCTGAGGGTGAAGGACGCCACGAAGTACAAGATGACGAACCGCCAGCGGGTCTCGACGAAGGTGGTCCATATGTCCAGGACGTAGGCGAAGCGGTTTCGGTGCATCACATTGCCGAACTCGATGTTGCAGCGGCCGTCTTTGGTCACCAGGCGGTATTTGTGAACTCGCCGCTCTGACATGTACTCCTTCACCACCTCTCTCAAGGAACGAGTCATTCTGAGGGTCTGTCTGGGAAGAGAGTGAAGCGATATTTGTTAGAACCAAACCAAGACCCAGTGCAAAACAAAACAGCACACCGGAAACTCTCGGCTACAGCGACAGAGAACGTGTTGTCCAACAGACTGAAGTATTTAGAGATAAACACTGCCTATTGTTATGCATGAGACAAGATAGCCAAATCTGTCCACATACCGTACGTGCATAAACACCTGAGTTGATTTCACATTTTGCAAACAGTAAACAATTCTTTCGAATCTGGGCCTTTTCAAATAACATTCCCAATAACTTTGAGAAACACATTACAGTTGCAATGTGATTAGTTGCTGAGGCTCTTTATTGTTACATCACAGATATCAGATTGAACAAATTCAGTGTATTTTGTCTCTCTCTAGGACATTGTGAGAGTTCATTTGAAAGTAGTTATAGCCTGTGCTTAGTGCAAGAATCAACGCATGAGTGAGAGTACTATTGTTGATTAGCCATTGGCCAATCTCTTAGATCTATGCAGAATGGCATCAATGTGTTTTGAGTTCATAATATAGTATTGTGCAAGGAACTGCTCAAGTGAATTGATAATCTGATGCTGTAATCATAATTTGTGTGAAAAAGAATAAAAGTGGTTGATGTTTTACTGCCTCTAGTGTTCATTTCAGTATGAAATTGCAGTGAAATGTATGTATAGGTACGTTTTTGTATTTTAAATGAGCGTGGGTTGAATTTGAAGGCGAGTGACAAAACTCACATTTAAGTAGCTCTACGAGCTTAAAATATGACCACAATAATAAAAAATAAAAAAAAGATTCTGTTTTTTATGAGCTATGCATACAAGTGCAAATCAGTTTAATCAATAAGCCCTAAGCTGTCAGTTTCGTCTTGCACCTGACTGGTTTCTCCGCAGGCTTTGATTCACAATCATGCTACTCATCACATTCTGAATGTTTCATTGTACTTAATTACAACAGTAAATAAAAGCGCTGGTAAATGCAGGCGTCGCATGGCAGCGTGTTTAGGGCAATCTCCGCTTATCTGTCGTTTATGAGCGGCTGAGTGCTGCTCGGTTTGCTCCAGATCATTTGGAGTGTGCTTAATGTTTAATGCAGAGTCTATTAGAATACACATCAACTCTGTTCCGAAGCTCAATTACAGCACAGAATAGCAACTGTTCAGCCCAGCCAGAGGAACCCGCAGTTCCCATCCGCCACCAATCATCTGCTGTGCTGATTTATGAATTGAATGTTCCCAAAATACCATGAGGGATATCGGTGCTGATGAGCGAACCAGACTGAACATCGGATGAGCTGAGATTTACACTGCAGATGTAAGAAAGCATCACAGATGTAGAGATGTTCGGCTTACCTGCCACAGAAGCCGAGGTGCCAAAACTTCACTCGCTCTCCGGTTCACTTGCTTGTGTGTTTTCGTCCGCTCTTTCCCGTCTTTTAAATGTGAGCTAAAGCAGGAAATTGGAAATCAACATGTGTGTGTTACTCATTAATAAGTTGTGTCCCTCCTTAACTCTTTCACACTCTCTCTTTCTTTCTCTTTCTATCCAGGTGCCTCTGACAACTCATGCCTGACTCTTCCCTTTTGTAGGCTTCCCTCCTACTCACACAGTCATGCTGTGTTTACCCCTTGTTTATGTATACACAAAAATGCTTTACGCAAGGGGAGCGTTCAGGGTGCATTTACTCAAGACGGAAGTACTTATCAACACACACACATACACTCCCGCACGACATGCAG